AAACAGAGCACAAGGCTTTCGTTGATTTTTCCACTCCGGAGGCCATCCAAATGGCAATGACTGCCACTTCTCTACGCCTCAAGGATGTGGACCTTCGTGTCTCCTTGCCAGATGATAAGTGAGGGTTTTGCAGTTGATCGGATCATAAAATTCCACTTGTATAATGTCGTGTTGTTCACTAGACCTTTATTAAAGAGTTGATTCTAGCTAAAGTAGGAGTCGTGCCAATATTTCGAGAATGACGTTATTGTAATTTAAGTTGGTGTAGAGGATTCTTGTGGCTTCATCTCCTTGTTTGACTTGTATCATCTGGAGTAGGGAAGGTAGTGTTAGCCTACTTAAGGCACATTGGTACGTGATAGTGGCCACTGATGAGAATGAGCAAGAGGACGATCCTCTGAAATGCGGTTTAATCAGCCACGAGAGTGAAGCCTCCCAGAATTACGTAATACCCAGTTAAGCCCATTACCTCTACTGGCAAAAGACCAAGCTTAACAATTACTAACTTTAGCTTATTTCGGTCCCTACCGCCCTTTTTCCTACTGAGCTTCCATTGAAAACTCAGTACTGGCAAAAATGGTAGTTTTCCTCTATGCCACTCTATGAAACAGACTCACGGCGGACAATATTCGCGATATTGCGGACATTGAAACAAAAGAAACGCGTTAGTGATAAGAATAGGTGACCGAACAGGCTATCATCGCCGGGTTACTTGTGTGTGGGGAGTACCGTGCGGGCAGGTAGTTGTAGCTGTTCGGCTGCTTGGGGGTGTAATCCTTTGCTGACAAGGTGCTGCCTTAGTCATTACATACTAGCTGACGGGTGCAGCCGTCACAACTGCCAACACTTGGCACTCCCAGTCGCTTGTCATGCTAACTCTGGCATTACTTGCCAATAATGTGGAGTATTTTTCGAGGGTCACAATGCATTATATACTATTTAAGGCCAGTGAGAAGTCAGTCGGAGGTGAGAGCGCTCTCCACCACTTCGAGTGGCGATGTTGCGGTTTTCCTTCCGCCAACTCCTGATGTAGAGATTTTGATTCCAAGAGCAGTTCGCCTTTTTGTCTGTCGGTAAATACCAATCTAGTTGTAGGTAGTGTGGACTGCTGGTTGGCTGGAAGGGGAAGTTGGCGTAATTGTATCTTTCAACTTATTCGTCATTAATTTATTTCCTGTGCACATTGTTCACATTGAGAGTATACCGTTCTTCCCCTATGATAACCGATCTCAGTGTATTTTTCAATCTCGTATTACCCTGCACGTGAGGTATGAGTTTTGCCTAAAAGGCTAGCTTGGAGGGTAGAAATGAGATGGCGCAAATTTGTTTGTTCTGAAGTAACCAATGGATTGGATATTGGGAAGTGGCTATGTAGATAAGGGGATCGCGTGAATTAGAAATTAGTCCTGATTACAGAAACAAGCCGTTAGTGGGTCAATGACAGCCTACTTTCATCGCTCTCCGCGACCTGTTAATATGTACTGCCTGCCATAGCGCGGAAGGGCTGTCGGGTGTGAGCCCCTCTTATTGACGCTAGGTCAGACAAGTCTGATCGGAAGGCGGAAGGTGTCAACAAGCACTGATAAATTGCCAACATTGGTTGAGTAAGTAGAACAACAAGTAGAGAAATAACCAAACAGTGCAAACTCACAGGGGCCATATGTCACGTATTCGTGACGCCTGATTCAGCTAAGCGAATTGGCGGCTACACAAGTGTTACAGGCCAACTGTCTTCTGTACCAATCAATCGGCCCTTCATATTCGTGAATTTTATTCCTAATATAAAGTAACGCAAATAGTGGACGAGTTTAGGCGGACCTTGAACATCCCCTGAATGCGTCTGGGGTGGAGGATATGTTGACTCAGGAAGCCATGCGGAGGCGTTCCTCCTTTAAACCATGTAAGTATCTTGGTAAACAAAGGAGTTGTGTCACAAATAGGTTTGACGAATGATTAGTTCACCGTAATCGGGTGACTTGTTAGTCGGTGTCTTATCTTTACCACGTCTCCTACTTAGTAGCAGTTGATAAGACAGTCGCCACATTTCCACCAGCACTTGTTTCTGCATAGGAATGTCAAACTCTTCTAGTTTTATCACCAATTCTGACGGTGAGCTGATTGGTGTTGAGTGCACATTCAATGCCACTTTTGCCAGGAAATCCACATAACGCTGTATGTACCGATCCGCGCTGCAGCTGGTGGGAGTGAGGTGGTGCATTTATCATCGAGAGCTATGTGTAGTGCCGCAACGACAAAATACCTTTTTATTAATGCAGATAAAACACATCAATGGAAGTCAATGATCTCTGCCATCGGTGTTGGGCATGGACCGCTGCCAGACTGGAAAGACAGGAGGGCTTATACTGAATTGTGCAATCGTACTTCTGCAAGAAGAATTCGACCCCTCCAATGCTAGACTGGATCCAGTAGGTCTTCATGAAATCACGCCTTATTGAAACAATGCAACATTAAATAAAGCCACCCTTATGGAGCCTTTGACAAGTAAACAAGCGATAAATCATGCTCTATCTTTGGAAGCTCATGAGGTCGATGTTCACACTTTTCTCTGCCTGTCACTTGTCTGCTAAAAACTTTTATCACACATTTTTCAGAATAGTTTCGTCCCGTTTAAACACTAGATTTGTTTCTTAGCAACATTAGTTTTACATTATTAATTAAAATTGAATCATTAACCGTAGACCAAGTTAAACCAGGCAACCATAAAGTCAACAAAGCTCTTTGAAAGTTCAAGCGTAGGAAGGCGCTCCAGTTGCCGAATTGTCGGTTTCTGTTGTGACTTTAAATGAAATGGGAAGAAGATCGTGGAGGTCCTACCAGCAGAAAACCACGTAAGAAATAATGAAATTACAGTAAGTCAACGAAAATGTTCCTCTTCGACTTCTGATGAGACTCCGTAAAAAACTTTCAGTGTCTGGTAATGAATGCACATTGTGAGATATATTGCATTACTTGCATGCATAGATGGTAAAATTGCGAGTCCCTCTTTTACCCCAGTGTCCTACGCGGTCATTGCCCAGATTCTTTTTCGCCACTGGGTACTTGACAGAATTTTCTCATTCTGGGCATTCAATAAACATCTTGCATTTGTACACCGCAACCTATTCACCACCACATTCACTCTCTGAAGGAGAGCCGATGTCGATTTGAGAACTAGTAACCTTTGCAAAGGTGACACTGCTTTCATTTGACCCCTTAGTAATTTGAGTCAGTTAGGAGGGTCTTCGAAATCCCCTCCGATGAAGACGACGACCGGCCACTTAATTGTTGACCATGGAAAAGGGTGAAGAAAAGAGACGTGGGCAGAAAGCTACAGGACCACAGGAGAGACAAACAGACAGATACTGCCTAATTTGTTTGTATTTGCCATGTTTGTGTGGGAGTAGAGAGCGGGATAGTCCACTCCTGTTCTAGTTCTGGTGGCATTTCCTTCCACGCTGTTAATGTTGCGAACCTAAGTGAAAGAATTTTGAAGTAGACCCATCCGCTCGACTTTTTCGCAGAAGTTAAAAAACAAGTGCAAATGCCGAAAGGAATTTCGCATTTGGCGGTCATACCGAGATCATTTTGTTGATTTAACTCCACGTACATATAAAACTGGAAGGGAAAATACCAGGATGAGAGGCAAGCGTGAAAAACCGCAACCTTTGCCTTAGTTCAACTGCACTACCATCCGTTATCTGTAGTCTAAACTATGAATGAGGGGACGTAGATGAAGACTTTGCATGAAATGCATTACCTTGGCACTCAATTTCATTAATGAAGGAGCATTACACCCCGCAGGTGCCTAATTCCTACATTTGGGCGACTTCAGTCTCGCCATTTTGGATGAAGTGGTGACTCTTTCACCACTTCCATATCACTGCGATATTTGACAAGAAAGGTGGGTGGAAAGCAACGCTTGTATTCACCCTTTCAACAAATTGTTAAGGAGGCGGTGGC